AAATAAGATGTCCATACAATGCAAGGTGAGACGTGTAGTGAGTGCTCAGAATACACAGTGGCATTTTCACATCAGCTAAACCTAAAAGATACGAAAACAAAACCTGCGTGAATCAGTGCAAGTACAGAAGTGTCTACCACACAAGCCGCGCGCACCAGCGGTCCCGCAGCGGGCGGCCGTCGCACGCCGCGTGCTCCGCACACAAGCGCCGCTCACGCTGAGCGCAGGCGTTTTTGTTTCCGGGAACTTCCTCGTAGGGGCGCCGTCGCCGTCGCGTGGCGGTGGCTTCCTGAAGCGCTGGCAGGTCTCCGCAGCGCCGCGCCTGCCTGTGCGCCTGTCAGCTCACCAGTGCGCTCCAGGTTTTTGTTTTCTGCGTAGTTCCCTGGGCGGAAGCGCTTTGTCTTACCTTGGCTATAAAGGATCTCTTAGGAGCTGCAATCCCAATCTCCTAATAAAAGTTCTCCATAATACTTTGCACTTGTTATTTTCTTATAAACCTTCAAACTCTATCACGCATGTTGAGGACTGAGCAAGCACAGCCACTGGCCAGGGCTTTGTGCTTCCAGAGGTGACGTGGTTGCTGCGTAAGGTCAGTGCCATCCCTCTTGCCGCGGCTTTGTTGTGGGACATTTCCACCTCAGGTGTCCGTTGTTTCGAGGTTTCCTTATCGACATTCCCATCATGGGGCTGTTGGCGGCAGCAGGACCACTTCGCTTTTCTTTGACACGTGGTAGGCCAGTGTGAGATACTTCTGAAACCTCACAATTCTGTTTTGAAATTGCAGCATCTCGTGTGGAATTTCTGCTTTGCTCCTGGGTACAGATGCTGTGCTGGTCAACTTGTCTCTGTTAGCAAACTGGAAGCCAGTAAACTGGTCCAGTGTGAGATTCTGGTTAGTTTGGGAGTCTGCACAACTGGTCTGTTCCCAGTGTCACTTGCCTTATTAGCATACGAGTAAGGCCCCGGGGCTGCGCTCCAGGATACAGGTCTCAGTTGCCCTCACGTCTAAGGGCAGACCTTCTTAGGCCGTATTTGGACCCACAAATCTTTTACATTCCTGCGACCACGAGAGGTCTCTGTTCAACACGGCAGACCTACGAATACTTTCAGCCCAGCTGGTGCGGCTCGTAATAAGGATGCTTTTGCGCACGGCTATTGTTTTTGCTTGTGTTCAGCCTTCGTGTATTTCACAGCCTCTTGTGTTTCATCCGCTACGGTTTCCAACACCGAGTGGCGATGCGGGGTCCTGACCGTTATGTTTCACACCGCTGAGAGCCGCACTGCGTCTCTGGCCCTCGCTCCACACTGGCTCGTTCCGCTGGGTTGTGTGGCCATTTCGCAACATTTACACTGGTCAGCTGTGTCCCCACAGTGCTGCTTCTGCCTCCCCTGAATCGAGGGGCTCTGCACCCCTCGTGTCTGAATCAGCCATTCTTGCTCCGCACCACCCTTCTGCTATAAAAGCGGGCCCTGTGCCATAACAGGCCATCGTCACAACCCACACATGCCTAAGCTGGCGATTCACTTTTGACCTCCTCCAAAACTTGCCAGTCGGGTTGTTCATGTGCCATTGTACTGAATTGGGCTTTTATTAAAACTTTTTTTTTTTTTTTAACAAATCATGGACTGCCGTGGGTGTATTGGACCTCTGTGACACTCATGTCGCAGAAACAGGCAGAGCATACAGTGGAGCCAAATCCTGTTTTGACACTTTGGCACACAAGCACACTCCTTGCAGTTCATCACACCAAGTGGGTGAACTCATAGGCGCCTTCCTGCGTCCCTCAGGGGAAGGTACTGACGTGCGCAGCCGGCTACTGTGGTGCTAAAGTACACGTTTACAGTAGAGAAATACATAAATAAGCCTTATCTTTTGTGCAGTCAGAAGACAAATTAGCTTGACCTCTCCCAAAAAAGTCTGTGACTTTTTTGCAGAAGCCCCAGGATCTGAAGTCCCAGGGTCGGGTTTAGCCTATGCCTGGTACCCACCCAGGACGACAGTCCCCCCTCCCCCAATATCCCTAGGTCCCAGTGCCATCTGCACCCTGTGGACAGCAGGTGGCGCTGCCTCCCTGTGGACCCAGCCAGGCAGGTTCCCAGCCTGCTAGCCGCTTCTGCTTCCTGGAAAGGTAAATGTGGGGGTCCCCTGAGCTTGTCCTCCTTTCCTGACCCCCAACGCTGGGCTCCCACCCAGGGGCAGCAATCACGCCAAGGAAGCCTGGAGGTGAAAAGGGACCTGTGTGCTCCTGGCTCCACAGCCACCTCATTGAGCTTCTCTGTGCAGGTGGCTGTCCCCTTCACCCTGCCATTCTGTGGAGGGTGGTAGGTTCAGGAGCAGCCAGGGCTGCCTGCCTCGAGGAAGAGCCATGCCGGCCACCTGTGGCCACCTTGGCCACCGCAGGCTTTGGAGGCACTCCACCTTCCTTGTGGCTGTGAAAGGGACACTGTCGGTTGGTCAGGTGCCCCAGGGTCCCAGCGTGTCACCCTGCTTAGACCAGGGCTGGCCACTGAAGCCCTGCCCTGTGGCACAACAGCTAAAGCCATGCAAGGACCGGGCAGGGCTGGCCACCCTGGGCAGCTCGGCCCCTCCTGTGTCCCAGGCTAACAGCTTAGGCTGGGCCAAGACCACCAGGGGTGCAGTGGGCACCAGGACTGGGCAGCGTTGGCCTCACCAGGCTCTCCTAGGCATCCTCGCAGCCCATGGGACCAGAGTCCCTGCATCTGGCCCCCTGGGCACTATGGACACGGGCTGTCCACCTCTGATGTCCCGGGAGTCAGCCTGCTCACAGACAGCTGTGGGAAGGGAGGGAGCCGCGCAGCCTCCTCTGTCCTGCTGCTTCGCACCGAGCGCCCTCTAGGGGAGGGCTGTGAGCTGCGGGGGAGGCTCTACCTTCGAGGGTCTCCGAGAGACCCCGCAGTTTTTTATTTATTTATTTATTTTTTGAACTGGGGATTGAACTCAGACCCTTGCTCTTGCCAGGGAAGCGCTTATTCTACTGAGCCATCTCCCCCGGCTCCTTGACCCCGCACTTTTGACGAGGCTCTCCCACGGGCGGCATGTGTCGCTGTGAGAGTGGGGCACGGAGGACCCCACTGTTCAACTCAGAGTTGATCGACCTCAGAGTTGGGCCTGGGTACCTGCAGAGCTGTAACTGGGGGACCGGGTGTGGCTGGCAGGTGGGCTCATGCCGGGCTTTGAGGTCAGAGCGTCCTGGGTCTGAGTCTTCTCTGTCCCTCCTCTGGCTCCTGGCTCCCGCGGGGCTCGGCTTCCACCGCAGGCTGCCCTTGGAGGAGGGGCAGCGCTAGGCCTCCCGAGGGGTGGCCGAGAACCCTCGCCGCAGGGCTTTCCCCGCGGCAGCGACTGCTGTGGTCACACCTCGAGCGGGCAGCAGAGGGCAGCAGAGGCCGGCGAGCGCCTCTGGGCAGGGACACAGGCAGAGGGCTGTGAGCTGCGGGGGAGACCCCACCTTCGAGGGTCCCCGGAAGACCCCACCCCTTTGACGGGGCCACCTGGGCTGGTGCCCTCTCCCACGGGCGGCATGTGTCGCTGTGGGAGGGGGGCACGACCCTACCGTTCAAGCTCCACCTGCTGAGCCTAGCGAGGAGGGCGCGCGGGTCACTCTCCGTGGAAAAGCAGGAGAGGCCCCGACGCTCGCGATCCTGAGAGCAGCAAGGCTCACGCCACCAGCTGGGAGTGCGAGGCCCGATGGCCAGCCGTCTCCTGCGTGCCTGGACGCCAGGGGCCCTTGCTCCTTACCCAGCACCCGAGCAGGAAACCACCATGGTGACGCGGCTGGCTGTAGGCAGGCGGTGGTGGGACCCCATCTCCATTTTCCAGGACCTCCCCTTGGGGAGACTGGGGAAGCACCGACTCCTCTGTGCTGACCCTCGGCCTCCAGCCCAAAGAGAAAAAGAAATAGCAGGGCAGAGGCAGCGCCGGCGTCACAGCTCGTGCCAGAAAGGCCAGGCTGGGGTGGTGGAGCTTCAGGCCTCCCATCCTGCAGTGGGACAAGGCCTAGGGGCTCACAGCTTAGCGAGAAAGGCTCAGGCCCCAGCCCGCAGCAGGAGCCCAAGGGGAGCCTGTGTTCTTGTCACTTCCTTTCCGGCTTCTAGGGCTGGGGGAAGGGGCACATGCAGCGGAACAGCTGGACCTCAGTGTCCTCAGTGTCCAGGCGCTCGCCCCAAGTGTGCATAGAGACGGAAGCTCCATATGCAGAGGCAGATCCCTAATTGCTTACGTGCACACGTCCCAGCAGCTCTAGAGTGTCCCCTACACAGCAGGGCAGCTTTGCACAGAGAGCAGCGGTGGAAGCGTCACCCATTGGGGAGGGTGGCCCCTGGGGAAGCTACCGCTGACCTGGAGCTGTTGTGTGCAGCCTGGGCGGCTGAATCTCGCAGGCTGGTGTGGAGGCAATTTCGCCCACCCTCGGACTTGGACCTTCCTGCCTGGAGTCTGGAAGACTGGACTTTTCCCTCTCATCGTCAGGCGCCAGATCTGGCCTCGAGACAGAGGCAAGGCCTGCTCCCCAGGGACCATGGCTAGTTTTCCTACCTGAGCCCCCTGGGTGCCTGCTTCACAGCCTCTGGCTCTGACTTTGGAGAGCTGGAGACGCTGGTGCAATGAAACCCAGGCCCTGGGGTGACAGGAAGTGGGGTCCCCAGAGCCTGGAACTCCAGCCCAGGGGCACACTGAGGCCTTTGGGAAGTGGGGCGGGAGACATGGCCAAAGCTCTGGGAGTGCCAGAGTGCCAGCCCCTCCTCCCAGGAGCCTCACAGACACAGGGTCTGCCTAAGGTAGGCACCTCAGCCTGCGGAGGCCACGGGCAGGGCACTATGCACCGCGCCCCACGCCCCACGCTCAAACCCGTCTGGAGCAGAGCAGAGCCAGGCAAGCCTGGGAGCCTCTGCCCTGTCTCTCAGAGATTGTCGCAGGCCTTTTCTTGTCCGCTTAGTTTCCATTTTACACACAGCTATTGGTTTTGGGACATTAATTGCCGGGGTGAGTTTATTGATAATTTTGATGTAACAGAGCACTGGAGAAATTACCCCCACGTCAAAAATGTCACATCTGAGAAGAAACAGGTTCCGAGACTCGGAGCCCACTGTGCAGACACCGTGGTGGGTCACAGGACAAAGTGACTGATCGTGTTTGTTTTCCTAGGTAGCCATAGGAGTAGAGGAGGGTGGTCAGTAGAAGACACAAGCTTATTTGTTTTTCACCAGACAGGGAAAAAAATGTGATTTAGGAGGGAAATATTGCTGGATTGGAAATTTGCCTATGACCTTGCCCTACCCACAGCGGCCCTTTCCTTCCTCAGATTTAACTCAATTTTCGTTTGGGAAAACCAAGTATAAGGCACCATGCAACAGAACGAATAAAAAACAAGTCTTTAAAAACAAAAACAAAACTTTGAAGATGTTCCATGATTTATAACTAGAATACAGCATCAGTAATGGCTGAGGCTTGAAGTTACATTCACACTGGTCTTGGGGCAGTGAAAAATGTTATCAATATCTATCCCATAAATACAGTTACATGTATAACCTGTGTATGAGGCATATATGTGCGTGTGCATATAAATAAATATAAATGATAATAATATTAATATATATGATCTGCTTGAGTTTTCCCCAGGGGAAAGAGGAGCAAAGTTTTTCTTTAAACAATGATTATTTCTTTTTAACGAGAAATGACATTTAGAGGGGCAGAGGGCTCTTCTTAAAAAACGGAAGCCAAGAAAAGCAGTCACTCTTGTCCAGATTTTACTTCAGTGTGAAATGACGGGTGAGAGGAGGAAGATCAGCCAAAAAAGAAAAAAAAAAAAAAAAACAACGGAAAAAGAAAAAAGGGTGCGGAATGACCCACATCATGAATGTTCAAAAAGTCTGGAGGGTGGAAGCCTTTCCGGGGAACCAGGCGCTGAAGGCATCCGCGCCCAGGCCCCATCCCGTATCCACGCGACTTTATTTCTAGCTGATGCGATTTTAAAGGCCATATACAAATGTTACACATTTTTATTTTTGTTCTTTTCTTAGGAAAAAAATACACAAAAGGCAAAACATCCTCAAATTGTCATTTTATACAGTGCAGAAGGAAGTTGAAAATACGTGTCACAAAGGCTGCACCCCAGCAGCCAAAATACTAAAAAAGGAGGGGTAAGGCCTTCATATTATATATATATATATATATTTATATATTTATATAAAACATATGGAAATTTGTTTTTACATGGTTCAATCTTTGTTTCAAATGTACAATGGATAGCTAAAAAAATTCTACACGGCAAATATTGCCGACAAAGTTACACCATTAATACTGATAAACGGAGGAGCCTGTGCGGTGTTTTGACTATTAGGGAAAGAAAAGAGAATAAATACCAGGATGGGCCTTGCCAGAGCCTTCAAAGTGCCTTAACCTTCCTGCGTCCCCGCGTGCTCAGTTCAAGGTCCCAGGCCTCCCTGGCCCTGCCTCCGACCAGAAAGCTTACAGTAGAGGTCGGGAGAAAGAAACACCCACCAAGAAGGTAAAACTGAAACTCAAAGCAGAGAGAAGAGGAGGGTGGCAGAGGCGGCGGGGCCGGGACTGCCGCGCTTACGGGCTTCTTGGCTCGTTCTGGTTTCTTCTCAAGAGGAGCAGTGGCTTCGGAAACGCAAGTTCTGCGCGCAAAGATTCTGAGCGCAGAGATCCACCTGGTTTTCGGAAGAGGAGGAGCGGAGGGAAGGCGCGGCGCCTGGTTCCCTCCCCTCCTCCACAAGACGGCTCTAAAGGGAGGCTTGCGCATTCCAAGACATTCGTTCAAAAAAGTTAAAAATAAAAAGATAAATATTTAACCACAAAATAAAAGTATTTGATAATGATTGGTCGCGCTTGGTTGACTTTCTTGTAAAAACCTCCCCCCACTGTGCCCTGGGCACGGGGAGGGCTCTCGGCAGAATTCTTGTTTGGAAGTGGCAGGTTGTCCCCAACCTCGCCTTGCCAGGCCACTGAGCCATCCTCAACAGGACGAACACAGACTTCTTTCCCACAGCTGTGGTCCCACCGGCCCCAAGACACCACTTTGAAATAATCTGTGAGGGCACAGGAAGGAGCTGCTATCGATCGATCGAGGTGCTCCATCTTTGCCTTGGGGATTTCTTTCCAAACGATCCCGTTGGGGAGGAGCCAACCCCTTTTCTTCTGCTGAAGATATACCTCGAGAATGAAGCAGTTTCTGGCCGGGGCTCCGAGGTCCCTAGGCCGGCCAGCTAGTGCCTGGAGGGTCCCAGCCCGGCCTCACATCACGCAGGGCTTGATGTCCTGGTAGGTGACCTGCTGGTGGTAGTAGGAGCCCCCGCCGGCCGCGTGCATGGACGAGGAAGCCATGGCGTTGAAAGAAAAGACGAATTCCTTTCGGTCACACATGCTGGGTGACTGTGAATGATACCGTGGGATGCCTGCAAGGCAAAGGGCACAGAGATCGAGAGATGAGGGTTAGTGTCTGGGGCAGAAGGGAGAGCAGAGAAGCTCCGGCTGCGCTCCGGCGCGGGAGGCGCAGCCCGGCTCCAGCGCACAGCCACCCAGCAGCTTTTCCGCACGCCGCAGCAAGATTCCCACCGTCCCTGGCCCTTAGTGAGGCTGTGCACCCCGGGATCTACCCGGAACCGGACAGCTCCCGGGCCCAGGCCTCTCCAGCCACGGAAGCCCCACACACTTCCCAAAGCCAAGCAGAGGGAACGGGAAAGGGAGGCCGCACTCACTGCAGACGCCTGCACTTCCCTGGCCGCCACCTCCAGGCCAGGACTCCCTCGGCCAGGGTGACGCAGACGGCCCAGCCAGGCCAGCTAGCAGTGGGCCGTAGGGCCCTCAACAGAGGAGCGAAGCGGCTCCTCTCCCCTGGAAGAACCCCTTGGAGACTGTGTCAGGGCAGCAGGAGCTGGGGTTTTGAAACAGCCCTAGCACGGTGGCCCCTGGAGAGGCGGCCCATAGCCTCCTAAGGCTACGGAAGGCTGGCTGACCCAGGCGGCCAAGCACAGCCCCTCACTGCTCCCCACGACCAGGCCCAGAAGGCAGCCGGACTTCTGGTGGAGTGGGGGGATGGGAGCGGATCTGGCTCCAAATCCTTCCTGGGGGACTTGAAAGCCTAGGTACTGCAAAACAAGAGGTCCTGAGGCCTACAAAGTGACCCTCGCTGGCCTGGCCCCCAGCTAGCCTGCCTGGCCCCACAAAATGACCGTTCTCAGCCAAGCTTGGCTTCCTGAAGGGCTGGGGCCAGGTGGCTTTGGGCCTAGCTGGCTAGTTCGGCCCAGCAGGCAGCTTGTGAGGGATCTGCCGGCCTGAGTGCAGGGCACTACAGAGGCCTTTCTGGTGGGCAAGGGCACCAGGGACCGAAAGTGAATCAGAGTATTGGGGTCTGGGAGTTTGAGAACGCCTGGCCTACTGATCAGGCTTGGGTGAGGTAGAATAGAAAGAGAAACGAAGTGGCCCTAAATGGGGTCTCAGGCTGCTCTCAGGGCAGGGCAGAATCAGGCAGACACAGCCCCTGGACCTGGGGGCTGAGCCGCAGAAGTCAGCAGGGCTTTCCTGCCCTGGGGCCCTCCAGCCTGCACCCACACCCGGCTCCCCACGCACCTTGGAGCTCCGCTGGGGCGTTGTGGCTGTTCTGGTGCAGGTAGGGCTGATCCAGGGAGTGTGTAGAGAGGCTGCCAGACAGAGGGTTTGCTGCAGGGGGACAGGGGGACAGGGGCTGCTGCTTGATGTAAGAGGCACCACTGTTGAGGGCTGCGGAGGCAGAGGGTGGCCAGGCAGCAGCGGAGCCGGAGTAGACTGCATGGGGCTCCATAACACCGCTGGTGGCGGCAGGCAGCAGCGGGGAGGCCGGCACAGAGCCGTCGTGGTGCGGGTACTCGCCGGCTGCAGTGCCGCCGCAGCTGCCCATGTACGAGTGGCCGCCGTTGGAGGGCAGGTGGGGCACCGAGTGGCTGGGCAGGGCCATGCCATCCACGTTGCCAGGCAAGTGGCCGTTCATCATGCCCAGGCCGCCCTCCAGTGCCAGGCTGTTGGGCGGACACGAGAGCCCGCCGGCCGAGCCCTGGAAGCTGTAGGTGTCCGGGAGGTGGTTGAAGCCCAGCCCGTTCATCATGCTGTACATGGGCTTCAGCGCCTGGCACTTCCTTCGGAACCCGCGCGGCCGGCGGCGGAAGGAGCCCTCCTCGAACATGAACTCGCTGGCCGGGTCGATGGTCCAGTAGTGGCCCTTGCCGGGCCGCCCGAGCCCCTTGGGCAGCTTGATGAAGCACTCGTTGAGCGAGAGGTTGTGGCGCACCGAGTTCTTCCAGCCCTGGTAGGAGCCGCGGAAGAAGGGGAAGCGCGCCTGCAGGAACTGGTAGATCTCGCTGAGGGTCAGGCGCTTGCTGGGCGAGCTCTGGATGGCCATGACGATGAGCGCGATGTAGGAGTAGGGCGGCTTCTCCGGGCGCCGGATGCCGGCGTTGGTCTTCTTGGCCTTGGACTGGCCAGACGACGCGGGGTCCATGGCTGCGCCGCCTCCCCCGCCGCCGCCGCCGCCGAGCGGGGGCTGCTGCTTCTCGGGCGCCGAAGACATCGGGTGGCTGCTGCCGCCGCCGCCGCTGCTGCCGCTGCTCTGCGCCGCCGAGGAGGGAGGAGGAGGAGGAGGAGGAGGAGGAGGAGGAGGAGGAGGAGGAGGAGGAAGAGGAGGAGGAGGGGGAGGAGGACGAGGGGGAGGGGGCTGCGCGCGCGGGGCCGGCTGCGCCTCTGCCGTCATCCGCGGCCACCGCTCCAGCGCCCCGCGCGCCTCCCCCACCCGCCCTCCCCGGGAGCCGCGGCAGCCACGGTTGGCTCAGAGCCCCCCTCTCCCCTGCTCCCGCCTCCCCCTCTCTCCTCCCTCTTTCTCTCTTGCCCTCCCACCGGGAAGGAGCGGAGCGCAGGCCGGGTCGCCTGGGCGCAGGCCGCAAGGAGGCTCCCCGGGCCGGGCTAGGAAGGGAGGCACCAGCTCCGGCCCGGCCTCGCGTCCCGAGATTACTCCCAGGCCGCTTTCACTATGGCTCGGCCGGGCGGCGGCCCAAGGCCGGCGAAGAGGCTCCTGAAGTCCTCTCCACGCCCTGCCCCCTCCGACCCCGTTCCGTGGGCACTGGAAGCGCCCCCGCCGTCGCCGGTCCGTGGCCGCCTGCAGGGCGCGCCCCGCCTCCACCAACCTGGCGTACAAGTGTCCCGCGCCTCCGCCCCGCGCCGCGCCGGTGCGCACGGCCAGCGAGCGCCTCCAAGGCCTAGGCGGGGCCGCGGGGGACGTTCCCGAGGTCCCGGGTCCTCCCCGATGCGCCAGGCACCAAGGCGACTCGAGCTTGCAGGACCATTGCGGGCGCGCCGGGCTGGGCGTCGGGTCCCCGAGGTGGGTTGAGCGAGCTCCCGCGAGGGACCGCCTACCCACTCTCCCCGCCCCGAGGACAGCGCCGCGCCCGGGAGTTTTCGGACTCGCCCAGCAGCGCGCAAGCCGGCGCCCAGCGGTGCCGGGCCGGCCTCGGGCTGAAAACGAAAGCGTAGGGTGGGTCGCGCTCGCTTTGCCTTCGGCGTGGCGAGCTAAGAAACGCTGGCCTACAGGCAACGTGACCCCCACGCGCGCCGGAACGGGCAAAGGGCTCACTCGCTCACCCATGCACGTGCACAGCCTACACTACTGCGCGCACCTAGCACACGTGTACATGTGTTGGTGCACAAGCAAGCCTAGTGAATTACAGACTCAGGCATAGAAACTCACGCTCATGCGTGCTTGCCCACGCACGCACACAGCGCTTAGGCACATGCGCGCTCGTTAATGCGCGCGCTCTGCGTGTTTCTGCGTCTGTCTCTGCGTCTGTCTCTGTTTCTGTCTCTGTCTTTTCCTCTGACACACACGCACGCGCACGAGCGCGCGCGCGGCTCTTGTCTGAACTCACACGAAGTCGGATTCTTCCCCGCCCTCCCCCTACACACCCTGAGACTCCCCCATTTGGCCCCCGCGGCAGGGGCCCCCATTTTCCAGGCAGGTTCTGATTTCCCGAGAGATGGCAAAGGCCCTGGCAGGAAGTTTACACGCCCAACGTAAACACGTTCTGGGGGATTCTTTAATAATAATAATAGAGAATTCCGCGTGCGCGGGGGGAGTTGGCCTAATGCCCCTGTGGGCTCGGCCTGCCGCCGACGCCACGGGGCCTCCGACTCTGCGCACCAGGCCAGGTTCCGGAAAGCGGGCAGCGGCGGCGCGGGCGGGGAGCGCGGGCCGGGCCGGCTGCCCTCTCACGCCTGGCTGCCGGCCGGCGAGCTCCCACGCACGCCTCTGCTCGTCACCTTCACCGCGCCGGCGTGAGAGCAGGCTCGGTCCCGGCGGGAAGGTGGTGTGGCGCGCAACGCAGGACAGCGCGGTTGGCCGGAGCGACGCGGTGTGCACAGAAGCGGTGAGTGTGGCTGCGGCGCTGCGCCGGTGTCCTGGGTGGAGAGGAGGGGCGAGGGACGTCTTCCCTGGCCATCTCAAGCCAGGCGGCCGTGCCCTGGCAAAAGCCGGAATAAGAGGCTGTGTCAGGATGGAGCCAGACCTGTGGCTTCTTTAAAGTGTCCTGGCCGCGCGGATTTCTCCCAACTCATCGCTCTCCGCTGGCCACCCTCCCATGCCTTCACCGCTAGCGGAAGACGCCTGGTCGCCTTCGGGGCGCCTGGCAAGTCCCTGCGAGGAGGAGCTGGAGACTTGCCTATCGCTGCTTCTCCGAGCAGAGCAGAGCTCCCAGGAGAACCAGGGTGGTCTTCAGCCCTGTGCTTTCGACCAGACGACCAGACGGGGCGGACGCCTTGGCCACATGGGGGAAAGGGCGAGTGTGGGCCGAGCCACGGTGGTGTACTTGTGTATTCGCAGAGATAGATGAGCCCAGCAGACGCTGGCCCCTTCACACAGAGGCCCACGCACTGCACAACCTCTGCACTTTCCAGGAGAGCCCTGCGGGGGGTGGTACACAGCTCCGACCCAAGCCTGGCCCTTGCACAAGTTTACAATCTCCACTCACCCTCCCACTCACAGCCCACCACACGCGCATAAGCGGTGTGGCACAAACGCGCAATACACTCTCCCCATCTACTACTCCCCGCTTCCGCAGGAGAGAAGCTCCCCAGAGGAGCGGCTGCATGACTGGCCCGTACTAGGGCTGTGCTGGCTCCTCGAAAGTGGTCTAACTTTCCTGTTCTTGCTCCCCTTTTCGTGGGGGGCCCCAAAGCGAGGGGAACTCGAGAACATTAAATTGGAGAGCCCTCTTGGAGTAGCCACCATTCCCCATAAGCCCTGTCCAATTTAGGGGGCTACAGATTCCTTCACTGGTACACCCAGAATTCAGTTTTTCCTTCCCCTAGTTTGTCCTTCACAGGCTTCCTTTGGGGGCTTCTTGTGCTTTGGGTCAAGGGAGCTGTGCCTTGGGGGGACCCTGTGGCAGGCGGCCTCAGCCTCACTTACCCCCTGGGTCCCAACAGTGAAGCACACTGCCGGAGAGAGAGCTGCCTTCAAGGCCTGGGTGGGGGAGGGGCAGGCTAGAGTCCCAGGGACCCCCCCCAGGGCTGGGCTTCCCCACTTCTTTCTCCTGGGGTGCCTGAGAGGGAAGGGGGAAAGCTAGCCACAGCAGGGATGTAAGGAAGCTGAGATTCTGGGGAACCTGGCCCTGGCTGGCTGGTCAGTGGGCCTGGGCTGCCCACATCGCCCGCCTGCCGTCCTCTGGTCCTCCAGCCTTCCTCTCTACCCGAGGATGAGGACAGAAGGCCTCGGCCTCCTCACCTTGGAGGGAGCGCTTTCAAAATGCTTCAAAGGCTCCAGGACAGAGCCTCCTGGGAGAAAGGGGTGTTAGGATGGCAGGACAGCCACAGACAGGACAGGAGTGGGCTTGATAGTGGCTGGCTTGGTGCCACGCTGCTCACTGCCCATCAGCGACCCTCATTCCCTCCATGTCCCTTGCAGCTGCAAACCCCTCTGATAATCTGGGTAATTGCTGTTCTTCCTGCACCCGGCCCAAAGCTCATCCCTGTGGCATCTGTATAAGGGTGAGGCTTCCCTGAACATGTGGAGCCCATTCATAACCCTGCACCCAGGGTGTGCACACACGCACATGCACACGCAATGCACATACACTTGCACACACACAGGCACACACACAGGGCTTCTGACCGCCACACCACACCTTTCATCTTCCCAGAAATCCCTACAAATCAACAACCTCTACTGTGTAGCTGAGGCTCAGTGGGGGTGCTTGGGTCCAAATGCCCTCTACCCACCATCACAATAAGGCAGGGAGGCCCTGCACCCTAGACCTGCGCCCCCCACACACCTAGGGATACTGTTGAAGCTCAGATCTTTCCCCTGAAAGTGGAACCCCCAACGCTGGCCATTTTCAGGGTGGAGGGAGGGTGAGGCGAGCGAGTGGGGGCGGCCGGCTGGAACAGCCCAGGACCTGGGAGAAAACTGCTCTTCACTTCCAATCCAGACACCCCTCCCTTCCCAAGTTTGATCTGTGCCCCAGCGCCAGCCCGAGGAATCCCTAACCCCGGTAACAGAGACAAGCCCCGAGGGTCCACTCCCCAGGCCTGAGGTATTTTCACCGTTAATTGCTTAAGTGAGGCCGTGGAGCGCGAGCGCGCGGTAACCCGAGCGCGGAACCAGATCCCGTGCACGCCGGCCGCCGACCACCCACCGCGAGGGCAGCCGCCTGGCCGCCGCCCCTGCTCCGCGTTAGCACCGCCCCCAACCCCCTGCCCTTTAGGGGCCAGGCCCCGCGGGGCCTGTAGGTAGGGTGGCCCGGCTGGATAGAGGCGGCGCCGCCCGGCAGCAGCGAAGTGCGAGTCTTGGGGATTTGGTAGGGAGGGAAGGGCCTCAGAGGGACGGGAAACTTCATTGCTCACCCTGGGGCGCGGGTGTGGGGCGAGGATATTTAAAAATGCGGGCAAGGTAAGAGAATGTTAGGGTCAGGAGCAGGATCCCAGCGGGGCTGGTTCCTTGGTTGTATGTCCGCCCGTGTACAAATGCATGCGGATTGGCCCTGCCAACTGGCTTGCACTCTCCCGCTGGTGTGCCCAGAACCTGGCTGCAGCGAGCGTCCCTCAGGGGGCTGGGCCCGCAGACGGGGCTTCTAGTGACAACAGTACAGCGCTCCCTGTGTGTTCATTATTCTAGGATGAAAACGATATAAGGCGCCTGCTTGCAGAATACTCCAGAATACCAGGAGGTGCCCTGCGCACTGGGCACTATAAGTACATGTGCAGCTCAACAGCGCCTGGCGCACAGTGGGGGTGGTGCAGGGCAGGGCCGCACGGACTGGGGAGCTGAGTGCACGCACAGCGTACTCGGGCTCTACAGGCTGCGGGCCTTGCTGGTGCACATGTGGACTGGGAGGACAGAGGGTGTGGGGAGACCTGCGTGTGACACATTGGGCTCCACGCAGGGCCGCTTAAGAGATGCACGTTGCAGATGGGGTCCCCGGGTGACACGCGAGTTTCCCAGGCATCAGGTGAGCTTTCCTGGGGGAGCACTGTGTGCCACATGACACACAGCATCATAGAAATAACACGTGACAGCTGGTGACTGGGGACACCTGGGCACTGCAGGGTCATCCAGACCACAGAACTTCCTCCCTGACCCTAAGACCAGTTCTGTTTTGATCTCACTTCCCCAAACATAGTGACACCCCTACTTTATTTCTGTGGCAGCAGAGTGGCCCCTGAGAGATGGGGCTCTAAGTGGTCTGGGGATGTGGGGCCCCAAGCGTCCTGTGTGAGCCTGCCTAGTGTTCCCCTCTCTGTAGCCGCAGAAGGGAGGGGGGCAGGACAAGGGAGGCATGCCCACTGGCGACCCGGCACTGGGAAGTGGTATGGAAGTCCAGCTTCATTTAGTGATTGTGGTGTCCCTTGCAGCCCCTTCAAGCTCAGAGTGAGGAGGCAGGGACCACTCTGCATTACAGGGCAGACCTGGGGGCAGGGGGAGGAGCCAGTGCCCTGGATGCCACCACAGCCCCTGGGCACAGGTGTAACCCAGGGACCCCCTCCCGGGAAAGAGAGCAGCGCTGGCCCCTCTTGGTACCTCCCCCTCCTCAACTCCACCTTGGGAGGAGGCTCTCGGTTTGTTCACCCCCCTCCCCAGGCAGAGCTTGGCCGCCGTGGCCTTCACTTGGCCCTTCCACTTGGCCCTTCTAGCTGGAAGCACACATTTTCCATGACGTTCTTCAATGAAATATTTGACAACAGCGCAGCCCAGGAATTTACAGCTCTCTTCCCTGGAAGAGACAGTCGAGAGTCTTCTGGCATTTGTAGCAAACGCAGCTCCCCGAACCAGCCCACACCCGCGGGACACCCGGCATCCAGCCTCCTGAAAGCCTTGTGCACCCTGCCGGCCGCAGGCCACCCGCAGCCCCGCTTCTCCTGGGCGCAGACCCCAGGTCCTCGTGTGTGTGTTTATCTCCGCCATTGAGCAGTTCTCCAACCGGAGACTATTTCTTTCCAGCGTGCACATATAAATGTGTGGTGTGTGCGCATGTGTGTGCACATGTGCATGGGGCCCCAAACCTGTTTCTGAGTATAGGGTCAGAGCTGAAGGAGCGCGGCACACATAGAGGTCTGTGGCCCCGACACCCATGCAAGAGGTGGCCCTAGGACGGTGCCTGAGCTGGGGATCTGGAAACAGTAGGTAGAAGACCACCAGCCAAAAGGAAAATAGGGATTCAATCTCAAGGGCCCAGAGCTTTGTACTTTTCAGATTTTAGAGGTGCACAGTAAGTGTACACGGGGGCTGCTGAGCAGCACGTGCTGAGTGCCCCACTGCTGCTGCTCCGGTTTGCTCCTGTGTGACCACCCCATGTGC